AAATCTTTTTTATAAATTTTATATCTATTTTTTTATTTTATTTTGCTAATAAAAATATATAATTAGTAGCAAGTTTCAAATGCTTTTAATAAACCGGTTTTAATTATGTATATAGTAATATATATTCAGTATAAATTTTGCTTTTAAAATTCAACATCCAAATTCTGAACAAATTAAGATTCGTCCAAAATTTGGGTGTCGAATTTTCATATTTGAGTTGAAGGTTATTAGTAATCAACTGCCAATTATAAATCGATTTATTATATTATTCAACTATTGATTAAAATAGCTGATTCAGCCTAAACTCGACTGTCAATTAATTAGCCAAATTTATACCAAATATTTTTAGTAATCAACTGTCAATTAACTACTGATTTTGACTTATCATTCAGTATAAAATTAGCCAATAATTGACAGTCGAGTTCAGGCTGAATCAGCCATTTTAATTGGTAGTCAATTTTCTTATATTTGACTAGTATTTGGAGTTTGAAGCATCTAAGATTGATATGCTAATTTATTTGTTCTCAGATTTGTTTAATGTTTTCTATATTTTGGACATGATAAAGAGTTTGTTATTCAGTATTAATAATAGTAATCCAATTTGGTATAAGCTTATAAAAGTTAGATATAAGAGATATATTAAGGTGATGTGTTGAATTAAGATAATATATAATAGGATTGAGATGTATAAGTATAGGTAATAAGTTAGTTAAAAAGGCTTTAATTTGTCTAATAATGTTATTAAGTTTTTTAAGATTTAGCTAAAATAAGGTAGCTTTAGCTAAAAATAAGTGTTAAAAGTTGTGAATTGTTGTTTTTTGTTAGGAATATATTTAATAACAGCATTAATAATACTAGTTTGGATTTTATACTAAGTAGTTTCAAGAGATTCAGAGGTTTAAATAGAAAAAGGTGTTCTGTTTATAGTAAGATTAAGAGAAACTTAGTCAGTAAAGATTTCCTATTCCTCTTTATTCATTGCTTTGTAGTTAAAAGTTCTGCATTTGGTTTTACTTGAATGTTTGTTTTTGTCTATAAGAATATGAAGAAATGTTCAAGAAGATATAAGAATTTTGTGATCATTTTGAGTACAGTTTTTTATATCATCCAAATAAAAAGAATTGAGGTATTTGAATAAAAGAAAATAAATCCAAATATAGTCGATAGTACTGTGATGTCTACTACTATGTTAGGTATGAAAGGAAGTATTGATATGATTTGCTAAATCATAAATATTATTATATTGTAGAAATTGTAATAGTTTGTATTTATAAAAAATATATATTTTTTTTTGATATTAAGATGACCTCTTTGGTCTTTTGACTTTTATTAATCACTTATCAGTATTGTGGTTCAATGAACTACTACAGGAGAGCGTACAATTGGCTATACATATAACTTTTCTATATTACTTATTTAAGGAGTCTGCTCGAAGATTTCTTACCAATTGCCGTATCTAATATCTCTGCTTGAATGTTTTACTTTAAACCCTCTGAACCTGTAATCTGTATTAACATCACTAATCATCTCAGATGCTCAGATCATTATCCTCAACCTTAGAACTAATTTATCCTTAAGATAAACCCCTCAGAGCTTTCTGTACTCATTTTTATAGCTAACCTAAGTATCACTATAACAGAACCAATACTTGTAGTTAAGGCTAATCATTAAATCACATAACCTTAGTACTTTAGTATACCCCTGTCTTTTGTTTAGTCTTTTTACCAAACTTCCAATCCAGATAGTCCATGTAGGGCTATAACCAGTCTATTGATATATTAGGTCGACCTGATATCCTTTTCCTTCTGATAGCCTGGTTGATAATACCCTCAAGACTCTCAACCTGGAGGTTCTTGTCTATTCAGCTACTACGACTGGATACTATAACCTTGGTATCTGTTTTCCCGAACTAGTCTTTACAGTAGGGCCATCAAAGATCTAGCTATCTCTTTACTCAGGTCTTCCCAAATGAACTTCTTGTTACCTAATTTCAACAGATTTACACAGTTATAAAGACTTATCTAATATTTGCATCATCCGATTTATCAGTTTACATTCCCTTGTATAACTTCAACATTGCACAAATGCTTCATGACCTGCCAGTCATGCTGGTGCAACCATCATTACAGATATCCTAACCCAATCATTAGTAACAGTTGCTATAATATGAATATTATATAGGTGATTATCCAAATTTTCAGCATCGATGAGATTTGAACACCAACCTATTACTTGGGAGGTTGACAACCTAACTACTTTACTAGGTCACCACACCTCTATAAAATATATTTTTAAAAACATATTTTATAAATTTTATTATAAAATTTTTTTTTTTTAAATGTTAAAGTGAGTACTTGTGATTCAGAATTTTATTAATAGTATATTTAACTAATAATTGCATAACAACTATATGAAACAATTATAAAAAAAGTATACAACTAGTCACTACATATATATATTCATACGAAGTAATTAAAATATGCATTACATTTAATTGGCTAGTCAATCATCATGTGTTATGTGGCTAATAATATATGCCACAAACTTGGCACATATTTCAAATATGCATGACATATTTAATGTTACATATTTAATATGATGTATTAAATTTTATATAACATAAAGGGTAACATATAAAAATAACTACCTTTGATCCTCTAAATGTCTGCATCTTTACATACTACACATTGAATATATATAAATCAAAAATTTGTTGGTCAAACTGGTCTGGTTAAATTGGTCAAATGGTCTAGTCTATTAAATAAATAATTTTAATATACAAATAAATAAACAAATATAGATATATACTTTATATATTATTTGACCAATACTAAACCTTTTGACCAAATAGTCAAACTGGTCTGGTCAAGCTTGACCATTGACTGGTTCATGCCAACCCTGAAATAAAATATATATAAAATATGACGAAGTCCTAGTGTATTAAATAAATTAATGAGATTTGCAATAAAATAAATAAGTGAAAAATTTCGATTTGGCTGCGAATTTCACCTTGTATTACAGTATAGGTCACCCTCGTTAATATCAACCTATTTGAATTGGTTTTAAATCAGTTGATAGTGATATTAATGAGAAATCATATTAAAGTTGAAATCTAAAAATTTATAAAAATTTGCCATGTGGCTTAGGTTGATATTAACGGGGTTGATATTGACGAGGGTGACCTGTATTATCGCAGCCAATAGAAATTGTCACGGTACTCTAATTTTTTGATTGGCCAATAATCTCTTTTGACTCAATACAGCAATATATCGGACCAATCAAATATTTGAAATCAGATTTTTTTTTTGATATCAAGGTTCGCTTAATTTTTTTTAACCGATAATATTTATTTTCATTAACATATAATGGCTGCACAAATCTCAAAAAAAAGAAAAGTAAAGTATCAATTAATATCAATTAATATTTTATAAAATATGATAAAGTATCAATTAATATTTTATAAAATTGTCAATTAATATTTTATAAAATATTAAAATTGCTAATTTATATCAAAGAAAAAACTGGATACAAAAATTCACTTTATAATTGATATGATGATATATTATCTGGCACCTCTTGTTTGAATACCTCTTCGAGGTATAATGTACTGAATTTAAATTTGTCTGATCAAACATAAGTGAACTTTTTAACGAGCTAAAAAATTGCAAAGTTTCAAATTTCCACTTAATAATTATAGTTGGTTATTAAATTCATTAAATTCAAAATCCTTAAATGGATATGGAATCATAAAGTTTTTCGATTATTTCATTCTCCCATGTGAAATTCCTTAATCCACCATAGTTCGTTGCTGATGGTGTCTTCTTTGCTGAGCTCAACGAATTCTTTACCCGTGAACTAGCCGAAGAGGGTTATTCAGGTGTCGAAGTCCGCGTAACCCCAGCCCGCACAGAGATCATCATTCGTGCGACCCATACTCAAGAAGTCCTTGGTGAAAAGGGTCGCAGAATTCGAGAACTTACCGCCCTCATTCAAAAACGATTTAAATTTCCAGAGAATACTGTAGAATTGTATGCTGAGAAGGTACAAAATCGTGGACTCTGTGCTATTGCCCAATGCGAATCTCTTCGATACAAGCTGTTAGCAGGGCTTGCTGTACGAAGGTATATTTACATATATATCAGATCGTTTAATTAAGATTTCTGCCATTCATGCCTTACTTTAATTAAGAGCTTGCTACGGTGTTCTCCGTTTCATCATGGAGTCCGGTGCCAAGGGTTGTGAAGTGGTTGTTTCTGGAAAACTTCGAGCAGCCCGTGCAAAATCAATGAAATTTGTTGATGGATTTATGATTCATTCTGGCCAGCCAATTAGAGATTATGTTGATACTGCTGTCCGGCACGTAATGTTGAGACAAGGAGTGTTAGGTATCAAAGTCAAAATCATGTTGGTGTGTGTCAACATCCTGTTAATTATTAAGTATAGTCGACTCTTCTAAATGCACATCCTCTAAGTGCAAACCTGGCAATTCTGAATATACTCTCTAAATGCACTTTTTTTTTAATAATAAAATTTTTTAAAATCCAGCGAAAACTTCACTTAGAGGAGTCGACTGTTTAACTATTTTTACTTATTCTTTTATAAATTATTTTTGACATATGCGCTAATTTATTTAAAAAAAAATTCAAGGACTGGGATCCTTCTGGTAAAATTGGCCCCAAGAAGTCACTTCCAGATGTGGTTAACATCATGGTATGTAATACAATATTTGATTCGATTAGTTTAGTATTCAATAACATTTACGATTCTTTGAATTAATATTTTTAAAACGAACAGGAACCTAAGGAAGAACCACTCATAACACAACCGACTTCTGAGGACTTTCAAAGACCGGCTCAAGATATCCCAGCTACAACCACGTCTCCAATTCCGCAGCAGGATATTAGTACAGATTACCCAGCAGAATATACGGAATCTACCTACTAAAATGTACTTATTAAGTATAAAGGAAATTCATTAAATTTTTATTTTTTACAATATATCAAGTCGATATTTTACAATTCCTCCCTAGATTAATCTTTTGGTCTGAAAGAATGATTGTGTTTCGCATGTTACATAAATAAAGACAGATAATTGGATAATTGATCACGAGATTATCAATTACAGAATTATATTAAATAACGTGTTTAAATGTCTAAACTGTATAACTCTAGTCTCTTTCCGTCATTTTTTAATAAAGTATTACGAAAATGGTTAAACAAAAGAAATCCTTAGCAATTAGAGATGATAACGGTAGGAATCAAGCTAAGAATAGAAACTAAGACTAGTAAGCTTGAGATTTAAATTAACGTAAATAAATTTATACTGCAGCATTAGCAGAACAAAAAGTTCTAGATTATCTAAGAAAACAAAACCGACCTTATAGTGCCAGTATCCCTTTTTGCTTACAGGCCAAATAATAATAATAAGCAATATATTCTTTACACAATCACTTGAATGCGCGAAATGTCGCGTTATCCTTAACCGTGACTCTAAATTTTCTAGCTGATATTTCAAACAACCTTCATGGTGCCGTTACAAAAACAATTGTGCAAAAAGTTTTAACAAGTTTAGTAGATAAAGAAGAGGTTGTCTGTAAAACTTATGGAAAACAATCTGTTTATGTGGTATCGCAGGTAATGACAACTTTCTACGCGTTTTTCTCTGTTCTTTCGTGTCTTTAAGCTTAATTACAGCTATAAAAATGTTCTAACTTTGGACTAGGATCAATTCGAATCTCCGTCACCTGATGAACTAAATAATATGGACGCGGAAATTGAAGATCTTAAGAAAGAAGTCAATGATTATAAAGAAAGAAATAAGCAATTGCAGTCAGGTGATCATTTAGTATTTGTTGTTGTACATGATGAAAAATAGTAATTGACAACACTGAATTACAATGATCTCGTACACAGTGTTAAGCGGGTTAACTAACTCATTAACGAATGAACAAGTTGAGGAAAGGTAAATAAGAATTTTCTTAAGTTTTGTGTGTTATACATCGTTAATTGATTTTTAATTTCTCATTATCAAGGCTCAAAACCTTAGCAGAAAAGGTATTATTGAATTTTCCACTTTTTAAAAAGGTCTAGTAATATATAACACTGCATGTTCTTAATCAGAATAATAGAAATGAAGAACGGTTACAAGAATTAAAATCAGGCACAAAATCTGTGTCTGTTGAAGACAAGAATCGTATTGAAGCGATTTATGCAAGGAATAGGAAACTTTGGAGGCAAAGGAAGCGAATGGTAATGTTACACTAATGTTATAAATATGGTAGAAACTAGGCAAATTGTTTTTAGTGTTTTTTTAAAAAATTTAAAAATTTAAAATTAAAATATCTCAACAATTGTTAACCAAACTTGATAATTTTTATTATATAACTATATAGAATTAAAATAAAATAAAAAATTTTCAAGTTTGGTTTAATAATTGTTGAAGTACAGCAAACCTCAGGTTGGGAAACAAAATCTTGGTGATTATAAAAAGGTGTGACTATATATAAGTAAATTAAGAAATAGTGTGATAACAAGGTTGTGACTATATCAAGAGTGACTATAACGAGGTCTGGCTGTATTTTAATTTAAAGTTTAAAACAAATTTACTTAGAAACAATTTGCCTGGTTTTTACTGACATCCCACATGTAAACAGTTAATAATCATATGAATATATAAATTTTCCGAATAAATTTATCAGTTCGATGAAATTTTCTCGCAGATCGCGGATGCCATAGAAAAAAAGACTAGAGAACTTATGGTAATCATATCTATATACGTTACAGGTTCTTTTTTTGGTATATGTTTCTACTTGTTTCATTAATTTGATACATAGGAAGATTTAGGTGTTGAGACAGATCCTGATGAACTTAAAGAAGATCCTTTCGCAAACTGAGGCTATTTTTATTTGAGGACATTTAGTGTACAGGTAAACTAAATGCAGTGTTCGCGCACGTGATAAATTCCAGAACTTTATTTAACATTGACATCTATTTATAAATTAGAGCGTTCCGGATATTTCGCACTGTGTGCGTATCTAGTCTTATATTCATTGTAGTTTATCTGTTTATATTATTATTTTGCAAATTTTATAAACTATTAAATACTAAATCCGCATAACGTAAAAAATAAAAAGCAAATACTTTTAAGCCATCACTTATACAATCATTATAAAAAAATATAAAACAAGTTATTTGAGTTATTAAATTACAATATTAAAAACAAAAATTTTAAGAAAAAAAGTTTATACGAATTAGTAAAGCACTAATTATATATATAAAAGATAGGTGGGTATATGTAATTATTTAAGAATTCAAACTTATTTACAATTTATGTAATGTATAAACCCAAACTTAAAAACCAAACCAATTTAAGAATGTCTTAAACCTAGATCTTTTATTACTAACATCACTTTAAAAACCAAACTTCAAATTTTAATCTTTAAAAGTAATTATTTTTTTAGTGCATGTTAAAATTTAAATAAAGTTTTTTTTTTTACTTAGTATAAAAAATTATGTTTAAGCTAACTTCGTAAAAGATATTTGAATAATCATAAACTTATTTATATTACATTTTATATAATCATATTTATAATATACATGTGATTATGTAAATGTAATACAATCACATATCTCAAGTAGTACAACCTCATATTTGTAACAACATATATATATACATATATATGTACTATAATATAGTCAGAAATTTTACCAAAAATGAACATCTTGTAATAGAAAGAACTGTTAATGTTACATAAAACTGTTACATAATTTAAAAAAGATTTGTTTATATAGTTTTACAATATTTTTTTAAGAAGCTGATATAACTTATCTATTTTATGAAATATGATTAATTCATTAAGCAAATTTGAAGCTTTTATGCTATATTATAATGTAATTTTTTAATTCTTCTTAATTCTTTAACTTTCATAATACAGTTTGTCTAATGAAAATATGTTTAATACTAAGCAATGTAAAGAATATAAATTTACCAAATTATCTAATTTTATCAAATAGAGATAAAAAAATAAGAAGAAATTAAGCATAACAACTTAGTAAAAATAACATAAAATAAAGAAACTGTTTTATATAATAAATCTTATATGCAACTTATAGAAAACCTATTACAAAGTACTAAATAAGTAAAGCTTACAACTTAAGTTAAGAAAGTAAAACTATATCAGAAAAAAATGTAAATTTGATTGAAAACATAAAAGTGATAACATTAATTTTTTATGATAAGAAACATTTCAAAAAAGAAAAGCTTATATATGATTATAATTAAATACAAGAGATGTTTCAAAAAATTAATTCAAGTTAAAAGATTTTTTCAATTAGCTTTATTTAGTAATTTAATTATTTAATTGTAATGTTCAAACTATGACTTATATGAAAAGATTAATAGTATTAATTTGTTATTTACTTTTCTCTTTAAATAATATAAAAATTATTTTTTTTTAAATTAGACATTGCATGTTATCTAGATTTGATAAGAACAAGTAATAAAGACTTAATCATAATGACAAATATTAGTATAGTTATAACATTTAAGATAGTAAATTAACAAAAAAAAAATCTTTAATATATATAAAAAGGATAGAGATAATACACTTTTTATATAATAATAATTTTAATGAACTCATACCCTATACCAGCTATACTATAAATAGGATATTTAATTCAAAATTTATAGATAGCAGTTTGCTTATAAAACATCTTAATGAATAATTTATTATAAATGTTAATGTTTTATACTATAATCATATATAAAGTGCAAATACATGCACTGATAAAAAGCTAATAGATAGACTAGTATCACATAACTATAACAATAGACTTGCAAAAAAAAAGATGATTGACATATTTGTAACTTTGTTCTTATTGATTTTACTAAAAATAAGTTGAAAAATATAGATAAATACTTAAAGGTTTTTCAAATTGTATACAATCAAGAAGCAATACAAATAGAGTTTAGGGCATGCCTTTGAGCTAAGGCATGCTCCTCATGCCTATGAGCATGTTCTTTTTAAATTATATAATCAATACATAGTTTACAACTTCTTAAAAATTTTATATGTTAATTTAATATTTATAGTTCTAGTTTACTTGAACTTATTAGCCAATTAAAATAACTTTAAACATTATATAACAAGAGCATGTCCTTTAGACTTGAAGCATGCTTATAGGCATGCTCTAGAGGCATATCCTTAGATATATGCTCTATGTCTCTATGTCATAAACTCTAAATACAAGCATATCTTTCCAATTATACAATTCCTATTGTAGCTAACTGGCTAGAACAATATTTTATTTATAAGACAATTGCAAAACAGTTTCTTCTTAATAACTAAAGCATTTCTTAGTTTGTTCTATTATTCTTGCCTATTATAGGGCCTTTTCATATATTCTTAAATGTTTATAAACTTGTTTATTTAAAAAACTTATTTTTATTTAATAATATTTATAAAGAAATATTTAGAGAAAAAAAAAACTATGACTATAAAAAATAAATTTAATTTATTATATTATGACCAAAAAAACTATAAGTGTACTTCTTTAATGTTTTTTTTAATATTTTTTACTGAATAAAGACTATTTATTCAATTATTAATATTATTACTAATAATTTAGCTTCTTTTAGTAATTTTTTTGTTAAAATTGTATATAGTAATGTTCTGTAAAATATTTATATATACTAAAACAGTTGGATATACTGTTTCAAAAGTGTTTCATTTGGCTTTTAGAACTATTTGAAAAAGTTTATCAAATTGTCATCAGTATTCTACTGTTAAATTTTTAATTAATGATATAAATATATATATGCTACTTTTATTGAATTATAAGATAACAGATTATTATCTTTGAAGAGATTTTGTTATCTTTAAAAAACCTAATACATTTTTTTATATAATTCAATAAACTGTAACAAAACTTTTGATTTGTATAATGGCATTGTTTTGGTGTATAGACATGATTATCACAACAATTGCTTACAAAAATATCATTTTAAATATTTCATATATTTAGGTTATCTTTAAGTAAGATTTAAAAAAAATATTAATATGTTAATATCAAGTATAACTAATAAACTAGTTAAAAGCAGATTATTTAAGAAGGATAATACAGATAATAATGATATTAATAAAGCATACAAAATATTAAATAATTTAATTACAACTGAAGATGTATTAAAATATATAAAGTTAATATTTTTAAATTAATAAAATTATAATATAATAAAATTTATATTGTATATATATTAAATAAAATAAGCTTGATGATTATTTTTATTACAAATTATAATTATATTTATATCTAATTATAATTAAATTTATATCTAATTATGATAGCAATAATCATTATTATATAATTTTAATTATATTAGTTACTTAAATATGCTAATGCTAATCATTTCACAGCTTGTAAACATTGATAGTTCCTTCTGTTTATTTTGTATAATATGAAAATGTTGATTACATGATGCTAAATAATTTGATTATATAAAAATTACATATAATTGACAAATTAATTTAATCACAACAAAATTTATTTATTAACTAAAATATGTTAGTTTTCATTTACTTTTTTTATAATGGTTTATTGTAAAAAATAAAATAGAATTATTTAAAATAAACATCTTATATTGTTTAATATTAAATAAATAAATAAAATATCAAAAGATTCTATGATTATAAAAAATATTACACAGTTAATCAAATATATAGAATAATACAAAGATCATTTTAGAATATGATTTTCTAATTTAGTAAATCTCTGACTGTAATACTAATATTGACTCAAATAGATATATAATAAGATTGTTTTTTTTATTAATACTAATATAATTAAATATTGCATATTTAATAAATTTGCTTATATATATTATCTTTATTATTATATTAATTATTATAGAAATAAATAAATTAATATTAAATTCAACTGGCATTTTTAACCCTCTTTGCTAACACTTAAATATAAAATTGTAGAAAAACAATTTAGAAGTTTACTAAAAAATGATTAGCAAAACTAACTTTACAAATCTAAAGAAAAAGATGGAGCTTGTAAAGAAGACATAACAAGAACAGAAAGGAAAAAATTAAATAACTTAGTAAAAAAAATAGAGAGAAAAACATCTTAGTTGACACTTTAAACAGTAAAATTTAAAAAATTCTCTATAATCTAAAAATATAGATCTGTAGATTACAGCAACATGTGAATAGACAAACAAAACAAAAACATATATTGATAGATATGCAAACAAGTCCAATTCAGATAATAATAAACATAAGACATAGAAAATTTCAGAACAATAAATTACAAACAGAGGTTACTAATAATTAGGCTAAATATAAGTAGTATACAAAATTAAAAAAAAGCCTAATGTTAATCTATATCAAAAAAGTATATTAAGTAACAAATAACATATACAATAAAGTGTTTTTTAACTAAGCAAATAAAACCTTTGCAACACCAGACAGAGAAGATAAAATTGTTACTATACTAACAAAACAAGATGTATTAGAAGTTGTTTTGCTATATATAACTAGAGAAATAATTAAGAAAGCAAAAGAAGAATAGTAAGAAAATAAGATTAATATCATCAAACAAAACAAAAATATTATAATAAAAGAACTTACAATGAAACAAATGCAAAACAAAGAAAAAAAATACAATGATAGTCAACTAAAGCAAACAGAAATCAAAAAGAATTACACAAAATAATACAACAAAAGAAAGATAAAAAATAAAAAAGCAGTTGAAAAAAAAGTGCAAAACAATATCAAAAGCTTACAAAAAGAAGTATAAAGATAAGTTAGATAAATAATAATCAAGAAAGAGAAAATTTGTTTATCCAAAAAAAAAATACAGAAAAACAAAAAAAAGAACAAGAGCAAAA